ATCACGATATTTCATTATTTTTTCTAGCTGTTTCTCTTCAATTTGTGTATCACCTGGTATTGCAATATCAATGAATCAGATATCATCGTCATCATCACCATCATCATCACCATCACCACCACCATCATTATTAATCATTGCACAATCAGCCAGATGTTCAGACAGGGTTTGGCATTTTTGGCACAGAGTTACAGATATCATTGCAGTATGGAAGCTGTCCCGAGCAAAGCCTCCTTTTGCAATTGACTGATGGAGAATATGTCAATGCCAATGGTGTTCAAGTGGTGCTCCAGTTGTTTTGGGTTTGCACCTATTACTACTGGTATTACCCTTGCTTGCCTTTCTCACAACTGTTCTATTTCTATTTGTAGATCTTTGTATTTTGTTATCTTCTCCAATTCTTCTATTCTACTGTCTCCAGGCACTGCCAAGTCCACTATCCAGACTTTTTTGTCTTTATTATCTTATCTTGTCTTTTTTAAGTCTGGGGTGTTATGTGGCAGGTGCCTGTCTGTTTGAATTTTAAAGGCCCAGAATAATTTAAGTTCTTCATTTTCTATTACTTTCTCTATTTTATGGTCCTACCAATTCATGCTTGCAGGCAAATGATATTTCTTGCAGATCTTCCAATGCACTATTGTTGCTACTTTGTCATGCCACTGCTTGTGGTCAGTCTGTGTGATCTTTTTGCAGCAGCTTACCAGGTGGTTCACTGTTTCTTTAGCTTCTTGGCATAGCAGCACTTACTGTCTTCTCAATTCTGGCTGTGTATGTTTGGTCTTGTGCAGCCAGAATGAATACCTTGGTCTCTTTCTTCAATTTTCCTGCTCTTAGCCATTGTCAGGTCTTGTTATTATCTGCTTTCCCTGGTATTTCTTTTAATGTACTGGCCACGTAGTGCTTTGTATTCCCATGCCTCCATTCTGTTCTTCATTTGGTTTTTCTTGTAGGCCAGTTTGGTCTCTCCAGTAATCAGTAAGCCTTCTTGATATACTAACTTCAGTGCATCTTCATCATTGTCCTTCAAATATTCTTCCAAAGCCATTTTTTTTCTTTTTCAACCATCTGATGTACTTGCAACATTCTTATTTGCCTTGGTAGGTAGAGTCTGTCAATGTCACTACGTGGATGAAGGGCATAATTCATTGTCATTATTTTTCTGGTCTTCCTATCCACTGTTTTTAGTTCTGCTTGAGTCCAGTCCACTATTCCAGCTCTGTATCTAATGCTCAAGTGATGGCCTTGATGGTATTTCATCCATTGACTTTGGACTTTAAGATCTTCTTTACTCTCTTGATGTATTCACCTCTAATCTTTTTCTTGACTTCAGTGTGCTTGATATTGTCAGCTTGAAAGATACCCATGTATTTGTAGTAATCATCCTCATCCTCTTAATGTTATTTTTGTGGGGCATCTTGAGTCTTTCAGTTTTTACTATTTTTTCTTGTTTGATAGTGAGTATGACACATTTGCACAATCCAAACTCCATTGCAATGTCTTAGCTATATATATGAACAGTATTGAACAGTGATTCTATTTCAGATTATGTTTTTCCATCCAGCTTCAGATCGTCCATTTAAAGGAGGTGGAATAGTCTAGCAGATGCTTATGATGTTTGATAGCCATGGCCTGAGTTATTCAGTATTGTTGTCAGAGGAAACAGTGCAACGACAAATAGTAGTGGTGATAGTGAATTTCCTTGAAATAGTCCTCTCCTAATAATGTGATCCTTACCTGGGACTCCCACTGCTTCTCACTTAACGACCCATGCATCTTGTGGTTACCACAGCAGTGAAGACCATCTGGATTGCTGTTGCAATGCTGCTTTGTGTAATGTCAGATTTTACAACTATCACTTAGCAATAGTAATCCCAGTCCCAATTATAAGTCAGGGTCTACCTGTATGTCGATAGCCTTCTAGCATATATGGCATGCATGATCCAATTATAACTCAACTTCTTTTGGCTGTTTTACAATATTTCAACTCAGCATTCTAACAATGTACAGAACAATTCTGCCATATTTGTTATATTGAATATAGTATTTATTTTACATTTTGGCATTAAACAAAGGCTTTCATCATATTCTGTTGCCTCTCAAACCTAGAATGTAAAATTGCACCAAAATAAAGAAGTAATCTTAATTGCTAACAATCTGCAGAGGTATAGACATTTTAATTGAATGAATATACATTCATTAAATTCATTCATTTAGATACTGTATGCTTAAATTCCTTAGCATGTATTTAATGGAGCACAATTGCATTTTAAAGTATTTTGCTACATTCAGTGTTCCAATTTGGTTTTAATAATTTAAGAATACATGAATATAATAATAGTAGCTGAGACAGATCAATTTTTTCTAGATTTTTATTTTCTTTCTTAACTACTAACGTATAATTATAGAAACAAGCAAGCCAAGCAGTTGCTTGCTCAAATTACCAGATTTATTTTATTTGCTTTATTTATTAATGTTTATGCCACCCATCTCCCCTGTGAAGTAACTCTGAGTGGCTTACAAGCTATAAAAGAAGTGGGGGAAAATTAAAATATTAAAGCATTAAAACTACACAGATTAAGATTTTAAAAACTATACTGATGAGAATAAAGAGATGGATGGAACAGTTAGCCAACTCCAGCAGTGAGTGCCTCCCTTGGGGCTCCAGGCCAACCAACAAGTTTTAATAGAAGGCGAAAAGCATTTTCACCTCTAGTAGTAGAGTGTTCCACAGGAATGGGGCCACAATGGAAAAGGTTCTTCTCCTCTCGTGCTGGAATTCCTTATTAGGACTTTTCTACTGGTGCAAGTGGAGCAGGCTAGTCCCATTTAGGAGAGATGGTTCCTCAAATACCCTGGGCCCATGCCATGTATGGCTTTAAAGGCAACAACCAGCAACATGAATTGGATCTGGAAACAAATTGGTAACCAATGCAGTTCGTGCAGTAGCAGTGTTATATAAGCAGCCCTAGGGACTCCCAGCACTGTGTGTGATTCTGCACAGCTGCAGCTTCTAAATACTCTTCAAACGTAGCCCCTATAGAGCATGTTGCCATAATTAAGCCAAGAGATGACTAGGGCATGAATGACCATGCACAGGGGCTCAAGATGCAGGTAAGGGTGCAATGGTTTGCAACATAAGTCCTAGCCATGACTGCTACTATTCTGAGATTTCAACCCCTTCCTTTATTTATGCCATGGTGGTGATTTAATACTTTGTATGACTCAGTTGGTGGATTCACTAGTTTCTTTACCTCTCTTGGACTGGCACAACTGTCCCGCTCCACAAACATACTTTTTAATACCATTTTTTTTGTTACAAGAACTAAAAGGGAAAAGTGGGAAATCCTTGTCAATTTCAACTGGTCTAAGAAAAAGAAAGTTCTATTACAAGCCATTAGTAAATGTAACTTTTCAAAATTCCATCTTTTCATTTTCCTATCATTTTAAAAAAAGGGCACCGGGGGCCAGTGACTAAAGGAGAGTGGTCATTCCCACCACAAGTTGCAGTAGCCAAGCAGAGTGGATAGTTTTAATTACAAGGAATTGAAGCACAGCATACAAAGTGGACAGTGCAGATTGAGCGAGCACAAGTTGGAAAACATGTTCTTGCTTCATAAAATGGTATTCACACTAATGTAAACTAGAACTATAGCTCTTCTTTGTAATATTTTAAAGGTGCTATATGCAAAAATAAGGTAACAATAATCTGTAATATTATTTATTCATTTCACTCTTAGCAGAAAGCAAAATAGCAACTATTTGTACTCAGATGTTTCCATAAATCTGCAAGCTCAAACAGCTGGCCACTAATTTAGTCTGATTAGTTCATAAATTTAAATTAATAAGCTTACTGGCCAGGCCCAGCTACATTAAAGATTAAATTAAATCAGATGAAAGAAGAAGGAATAAAAAGCTAGAGCATAGTTGAAAATTTTGCTGTCTATTGTATAACTACCTTCTTACAAATTAAATTGAATGCCATCATAAAGTCAACTTTATTATGCCCTCAGGTGTACTTGAAGTTATGTTCATGTATACATCCTTACACTTATGTAAGACTATGGATAAAAACAGCAATAAAAGTACTAATAATCACTGCAATTTTAGCTAAAAATGGATTATTGAACTGACTTCTAAACTAGAAAAACTACAACCCTAAGCACACAATTAACAGAATGTAAGTTGAATTTTAATGGATTTTTAAGTAAATAATAGTAAAGTTATCTATGTTTTGTTTAAAAAAGCTATAATCCTTTTTAGCTCTATCACTTTCTGCAAACCTTAAGATTATATGATTATTAACAACTAAATTCACTGCATAAAATCTCAATGCATTTGAATCAGTAATAAGCATACAATTCTAATTATAGTTTCAATCTATTACAAGCATTGGATGTATCTGCAAAGACTGTTTTGGGAAGACATAAATTCCATAAAGAAATAAAGCATTTGTGAGACTATATATTAAATGTATAGCATTCTTTCTCTCTAGTCATCCTGTTGTGGTATTACATCAGAGCTAGAAATACCTTCTTTGCAAGACCCACCTAAGACCTATAAAAGAAATGCTGCTTGCAATTCTATTAAGACATACTTCAGCAGAATCCAAGTGGCAATTGCACCAAAATCATTCTCCAAATACACATTTCCACCTTTCCCTGCAGTAGGCACTGCAAAAAAGGAGACTGGTAGAGAGCAAAGAGGCGGACACTTGTCCATGCTCACACTCAGCATAATGCAAGAGAGATGCAGCAAAATGGAAGCTATCAGATAACTTCTCTGATTTCTTAGCTCCACTAACCCCAGTTCCAGCCCATTCCGTCTTTTCCAGCCCATTCCCTCTGGTCCAAAGCTGAAGATAAAAGCTGGTTCAACAATTCCTTAAAATCTCTCTGTGTCCCCTGCTCACAGGTCTAAGCGGTGGTGGAGCATTTTGAGCTGCTTGTCATTTTCAGGTAACTAAACTCATATGAGGGGAAGAAGGGGAGAACCCCTCTAACCTTTGGAGTTGTGTGCACCAGTCCAGTACTTCCAATATCCGACACCAAGAGCAGGAGGCGAACCCAAAATTAAAGTATCTCCAGTATAAAGCAAGCGTCCCAAAAGGTGACTGGTCAGATAACAGAACCGGTTGCGCCTTCCTTTACATAAGCATGGCAGCTGTCATAGAAGGGGCCAGCTCTGAATTTTCCCTGGCTTTGATCAGGGTCTTCTTTGGTAGCAAGCGCCTATAGGCTATCACCACTGAATTAAAAGAAAAGTGATAGCCATAGGCGACCATATGCCTCCGTCTCGAGACTGTCTCTTTACCCCCTTCCGCACTCCTTGCAATCTTAGCTCCTGCTATTGCTGCCACCTGGCCGGGGCACCAGGCGGCCAATCAGAAAATAGCGGCAGTTCCAGAGGGAGGGAGGGTGCTTTAGAACCAGGAATGAGCCGGAGAAAACGCACGCGCGCGCGCGCGCTACCTTTTCGGCTTTGTCCAAGCAAGCCTTCGGGCTGTCGCTATTTTCTCCGAAAAGATAGGGATGGAAGAAAGAACGCGCACGCGCAAAACATCATTTGCGAGCACTAGAAATAACAGGCGATACCGTCCCCTCCCCCATGGCGCGCACGTTGCAGCTGCCGCTAGACGAGAGATGAGGAAGAGGAGCTTCGTTTCGGAGCAAGGAAGATTCGACTTGACCGGAGTGGACGGGATTTGGAGGAGGGGGAAGGGTTGCTTAATGTATATCGTATCCTTAAGCAGCGGAAGGAATAGACGGAGCTTTAGGTTAAAAGAATCCTGCCTCGAATTGAAACCTCAGGTTAAATTTGAATGCTTTGGAATGTGGGGAGTTTTTAAGGCAGGGAGAAAAATGAACCAAATGCCATTTCCAAATCTCACAGAGCTGGCTAACTATATAAGGTTTTATAAAAGGTTTACTTTACAAAAAATTTGCATGTGGTACTGAGCCCCTGCATTTCCGTTTTCAAAAACCGAAGACAATAAAAAAGAGTCGTATCAAAATAGTAATAAGCCGTATTTTCTATATGGAAAAAGAAATACCTGCAAAACCACAATTTATTCATATGGAGATCAGCTTATTAGAAAGAGGAAAAAGAGGCTGCTGTTATTCTATAGATTTAGAATAGCTCTTTTTTTCCTCTTTGTGCTGCAATATTTTCAAATAAAAATTTGTCAATCCCATTTTTTATGAAATAAGTTAAATTTATAAATTCATTGGGAAGTTATTGGTAAGAGGGTTACCCTATTTAAGCATTAATAATACATTGACTTTACAAAAAAGGCTAAGCTGAATATCAAGATACATTCATAATAATACATTTAATCTTGTTCCACTCAGGCAGCCTTAGAAATGAATGATGGCCATTGCTGCTTTGATGTCATTCTGAAAATGTTCCTATTATCGTAATTGTCAGAAGCAGTGCTTTTTTTCTAAAAAAAAAAAAAAGTGCCGGAACTCACACACGTCATACAACCCGCCTTGCCTACCCTACAAGGTTCCATCTGAAAAAGGTGCCGGAACTCCGTTCTGGGCGTTCTATGAGAAAAAAAGCCCTGGTCAGAAGTATTATCTGACATACTAGTTTGCTTAAAGACAATCTTCTCATCACGTGAGCACATTCTGAAACATGGACATGGGTTCAAAGTTATCCTTATCCAGGATGCTTAGGTCCACCTAGCTGCTCATGTTACCAAGTCAGAAAAACCAGATACTTAACAGTATTCCCTGTATCCTTGGCTTGCTGCATGCATATTCTCAAGTCTCTGCGATGACATGAAAATCTTGGTCTTGGTACTAAGTAGTCTTTATCTAAGAGTACAGGAATTTTGGCACTATCCCATTCTGACCTCTGGTATATGAAATACTTCAGTTTACTTGAGGTGGATGATCACACATTTCCTTATGCAATAGAAATATCAAACCCCAAATGTATTCCTTGCAATACATACCCCAAATGTATTCCTTGCAACTATGCATGTTACACATCCTGTAGTCAAGAGTTAGAACAGATGTCCACTATCATTTGTGATTATGATTAGTTTCCTGCATAGCTGCTGAGAATTTTCCTGTTTTAACCAAACAGGAGATCAAGTTTAACCACCATTGAGATCAAGTTTCAAGAATGCTTGTAACCTGAGACGTCAATATTCTTGGAAACAACCAGCTTAGTTTTTCTTATGGTACCAAGTTAATTCCTTCATTCACCTTCATGCAAAATTGTTCCTGAATCCTAAACATTTTATATAATAGGTAAAGTTTAAGAACATAGAACAGTAGTTCAGCAGTTACCCCTTGGATAACCTAGTCTCATGCCATGAAGGGCTGTAAAGGTTAAAATCAGCATCTGAATTGAACCTGGAAGTAAACTGGCAACTAATGCAGCTTGCAAAAAGAGATAGTGTTCTTCTACAAGTGCACATGCTTGCCTGAGATGCTCATTATGCAGCAGTTGAAATACACATACTCGTCAAGGTCAATGTACAGTAGTGGCCAAAAATGTGGAAACCTTTTGGGAAAAGTGCATTTTTGAGGTTTGATGGCTAATGACACCACTTTTTTTTGAGTAGTGCCATAAAATTATATATCAATGGAAAGATAATTTAATCAAGAATGTAATGCAACAAAGTTTGTTCAATTACAGTATCTGTACTGTATCTTTTCTATGAAAAGTTATAGCCAAATAACCAGAAAAAGGAAGCACAACTTGCTTAGGTTGATATCAGGTAGCTTTCTTTCATCTGATTGTAGCCAGTGAGCATGAGTGTTTAGAGAGACAGTCAGGTGTCATCTTGTTTTGGCAATGAGCCAATCAGTTCACAGTAGGATTCAGTTATTGATGTCATGTATTGAAGCTGAGAGGAGGACATTTGTCAGTGTGTTATATGATCCCTATCAAGTTGGTTGGGGTTTTTTGTGTTCTTTCATTTAGTGAGTTTGTAAAACGTAATAAAATTAAAGTAATGGTGCAAAGAATTGACTGGTCGTCCAGAAAGCGATGTAAAACAGTATTATTAAATGAACAAGACTACAGTTATAAAGAAATTAGAAGAAAAATTGGTGGAAACTTAACTAAAGGTGGCATTTCTACTGTACACTTTCCCAAAAGGTTTCCACAATTTTGGCCACTACTGTAGAATGCGTTGTATTAGTCCAATCTGGAGGTAATCAGGACATGAGTAATTGTAAGTAGCACTTGCCGATTCAGGAATGGTTGAAACTGACTCACCAGATGAAGTGATGCAAAGGCTCTCCTAGCTACAATTGCCTTAAACAGGAGTTGTGAGTTTAGGGGGACCCCCAGATTTAGGTCTGCTTGGGGAAATTCAATCCTATCCAGGACCAAAGATATCAGGCTGGGTGGGTACTATGAAATGATTTAGTATTTATTTAGCATATGGTATTACAATGTTAGATGGCATTACATATGCTAGACACACAATGCAGTCCTGACAGCCTAGAATGCTAGTTCATTCTGTTCAGTACTTATGCGCCTATCCTTGGTACATCATGGAGAGTAAACTAGCCTTACACCCGCTGACTAGTGGCATTCGGGTTGCTGGCTCTTCCAGGCTCCTCCACTGGTCTTGCCTCACTCTGCGATGCCTCACGTCTAGCTATATCCAGCACCAGCTTCCATTCTCTGCACACACAAAATGCAGCTAAGGATCATTTCATCTCTGAAATGATGACCCAACAGGTTATACTTTCTCTACTTTAATCTCAAATGTGGAGCCCAACAATTCCCAGAAGCTTCCATTAGTGTCCTGACTTCAGTGTGCTAGATATTGTGCAGATTCTCAAGACATTTTTACCTGTTCTTGCAAACTTATGATACAAATTAATCTAATTTGCCATTTACCTTTCACATTTATGTAATCCATTCAACCTATTTTATTTAAGTAAAAAAATAAAAAGCACTACCAATCCAATAACAATATATTAATGATCAATTGCATTTAACAACAAATACAAAAAACATCATTTTAAGGAAATATGTTTTCCTTAATAATGGCTTTAAAATTTAAAAATTTTAAAACATCATATCTATTAATATTTGTATTGTGTTATTGTTAGTGAGAGGGTGTTTGGTACAGTGGCAAAAGCATCCACCAGAAACCAAGAAACAGTGAGCTCTAGTCCTACTTTAATTGAAAAGCCAGTGGATAGACCCAGTCACTCTATCTTAGCCCTAGGAAGCAGGCAATAGCAAACTACTTCTGAAAATCTTGCCAAGAAAAGTTGTCCAGGCAGTTACTAGGAGTTGTGGGAAGTTAACCCAGAGAAGGAAATATTAAAAAGGCAGGAAAAAAATATTGTTCACCAAAAGGATTTTTAAAAGCATTTTTTGGAAAAGCAGAAACCAAACCTGGCCTCATCTCCTTGCCCAGGGCAGTAGCTGGTCTTATACATATGCAGATGTGGAACCATCAGAAAGTTTGGAGCCAGGGATCTCGAGACAAAAGAAGCTCTTAAGAGTCATTAGCCCCATCACCTGGGAGGCAGGATATGATAATGGGATTAAACCACAGATATCAAAGCCTAGAAAAACACTCAGAAATAGCCTCAAAGTTCATGCCACAGGAACAGGAAACTTCCAGGCAGGGCTAGAGGGTATAAAAAGACCATCTGCCCATGTGCTCACTCTCCTTTTCTTCTCCTCTGCTGCTTATCTGTCTTCTGCAATAAACTGTAACCTTCTTCCCAAAGCAGTCGCCATGTTTGCTTATTTATTCCCGGCTTGGATGAACCAGGATGAAGACTTACATCTAACAATTTGGCACTCCAGAATGGGACTCCAAGCTAACCTCTCCAATGGACTGAGACTGGTAAGCCCCATCTTGCCGGCAGCAGACCCCTTGTGTCTGTAGATGGGTTTCCCAGGCCTTGCCTATTTGAGTCAGGGTAGTAAAGGGAGTTTTGGGTTTGAGCTCAAGGGCTGCTTTGGAAAGAAGGTGAAGGTGAGTACCTCTAAATTTTAACTTTAAAGCCCAGGGGAACAAAGAAAATGTGTGTATGTCTGGGTGTGTGAGTGAGAAGACCCTTTTTTTTCCCAATCACAGTTGGATTTTGCTCCTTCTGGTCCTTCCTAGCCGCAGAAAGGATCTGTTTAATTGGCAGAACCTGGAAAGCATGGGGGTTGGTCAGGGCACAGAACCTTTTGTAGGGAAAAGGGAGAGGCTGTGAAAATGAAATGGAATGAATGAAAGAATTGGATTTGGGCAATTAGTGGTATGGCCCTGTAAGCAATAGCCCCGAGGTGGAGTGGCCACTTACCTCCGAGAGCAAGCGGAGGTGCCAGCGGACATTGGAGGTCCAGGTGTCCGTA